TTTTCTTCCAGAGTCTCAACAACAGTTCCAGATTCATCCACACTGGTCTTCTTCCCCTACAGCTTGCCTTATGGCATGCAGGAACAGCCTGTTCTTGGGCCTTTAAGATTTTCATCTTGAGGAGCGCCCAGGCTTCCCAGGCTTCCTGGACCCCTTTACCCTTAAGGAACAACTCCCAAGGGACCCCTGCAACAAGCACCCTGAACAGAAGGACATCAAGCTGTGAGAGTGAGTCCAGAGGAGGGTCACAGAGATGATCAGAGGGCTGGAGCACCTCCGCTATGAGGACAGGCTAACAGAATTTGGGGCTCTTCAGCCTGCAGAAGAGAAGGCTCTGGGGGCACCTTATAGCTGCCTGCCTGAAAGGGGCCTACAGGAAAGCTGGGGATGGACTTTTTATGAGGGCATATAATGACAGGACAAGGAGAAATGGTTTTAAAATAGTAGATTTAGACTAGATATTGGGGAGAAATTCTTTACTGTGCAGGTGGTAAGACACTGAAACAGGTTCCCTAGCGAGGTTGTGGATGCCTCCAGGGAGGGGGCCAGGCTGGATGGAGCTCTGAGCAACCTGGTCTAGAGGAGGTGTCCCTGCCTGCAGCAGGGGGTTGGAATTAGATGAGCTTAAAGGTCCCTTCCAACCCAAACCTTTCTATGCTGATTCTATGATTATCTGCTTGCCATTGAAGCTTCCTGTTGAAGCTTAGTGGGATGGAATTATTCTCTCACAAGTGCAGGGTTTGCTAATCACCAGGTGTCCAAGCTTCCTGTTTTTCCTGCACTCCTGTGGCAAAATGCCTCCTGAAGCACCTGCTGCTTGCTAGCAAGCTGAGGACAGTCTAGGATAGGTGGTGGAAGTTTGCACAGCTCTAGCTTTCATCCCTCTCGGGGAAAGGAACATCAGTAAAGACTAAAAAGGCTCTTGTTGGATGCCTCTTACCCACACTGCTGCCCCCTTTAGAGTTGTGATTGCACCAGGAGCTGTCAGAGCTCGTCCCAGTTCAGGTGACCTTCCCCAGGCTTGTTGTAGTTGGCCTCCCCTCTAGCTGCACAAGCTTCAAACTTTACATAATTTGGCTGGTTAAAGGTGCTCCCCTTAATTTTCCAGGCAGCCCGAGCTGCTGTTGCTGCTGCAGCACACTTTGTAGGCCCTGCAGCAACCTCAAAGTTGGAGTTATCATCCACGGAGTGAGTAAAAAAAAGCTCACCCATGCCTTCTTGGGTTTTGAATTGGCCACTCAGATATTCAGCAGAGCAAAAATAAAAATGATCCCTCTAGATTCGCCTAGGGATGAGGAAATGCGTCCTGCTTTCTTTAGGTACTTTTTGAGTGGTCCTGTGATGGAGCTGGTGATCCATGTGGGTCCCTTCCAACTCAGGATATTCTGTAATTCTGATTAGAATTACAAATTTAAGAAGCTAAGAGTAACACTACAACTCAGTTACCTGGCAGTACTAAAACTGGGAAGTGCTTCTTCATGTCTTCATGTTGATGAGCAGTTAAGCAGTGCAGCATAAAAAGTGAGCTTGTGAGAGGTAATGCTCACCACTGATTCAAGGGGATACTTGCCCTCAAATCCTGGGCTAGCATTTCAATACCAGCTCTGTGGTAAAAGAGTATCTGCCCATTAGCACAGAAAACCCTGACTCACATACAGTGTACTTCACCACACAGTTTCTGTTTTCCTAAAACTACTTCTCTGTTGTTATTGCTAAGGATATTGTGTTATTCATTAAACCTTTTATTAGCGTGCAGCTGGCTTTCACTGTCTAACAGCACCCACTGTGTTAATGATCAGTGTAATGTTGAATATTCACTGTGGGAAATAATGTGCATAATACACACAGAAGAACAATCGAATGGACATTTTAATCTACTAGTTTATTCTTCCACTGCTATTTAAAAGTCAATATCATTGAGGGAAATTGCCAAGGCATCATCTTGCAAGGAATCTTGCTTTTGAAGAGATTTAAAGGAACAATGAAAAGTAAAGAGAGCATTAAAAGTAAAGCAGTACTTACATTGAACTCTCCCAGATCCAATTACAGTATTTGCAGGTGGATAGATGTGTCAGGCAATGCATTTTAACAGTGGCACTGAACATCTTCCAGCTTCATTTACTGAATGAAATAAATTGCAGTGACCTTTCAACATTTTTTTTAATATAAGCCTGAATCAAAATCCAAACCTAAACAGCTCCAAATGCTGAGGCATTAGGATCTGATAGACAGATTAGGTAGGTAGACAGGGATAAGTTTAGGTATTTGTGGAGGAGGAAGTAGAAGTCTTGTAGTGCATTACAGTGTGCGTAATCATAATATCTGGATAGAAAGAAATACATTTGAACAGGAGAGAATTACTAACTGAGGCAATAAACAATAATGAAGAAATGCGTGGGAAAGCAATGAAGTTCTCCAGGTATTGGAAAAGGCACTGTGTGGGGCATGAGCCACTGGGCTACAGCTAGGTGCTGGCATTCACAGAAGGGAAGCATCAGGTGAGATACAGACCAGCTGAATATCAGCAGGGCCCACATCAGGGGTAGCTGCTTAAGCAGGTTTGCTGCACGGTGAGAAGCTTGAAAGCAACAGCTGTGGCTGGACTGGATGCTTGAAAAGTCATCTTATTCAGTAAGGGAAAGAGGAGGGACATCTCCTCCTCAAACCCTTTACAATTCTGCCTTTGCAAATATGTACCATAAGCATGTCTGTGCAAACAGCCACATTAATTACATAATTCACACTGCGTGAACTACACAGAGAAGTTATCACAGGGGCATTGTCTGAATCCAGATGTATTGCTTTGGGAGCACCCCTTCCTCCTCTTGGCTTTATGATACTGGGCAGAAGCTGCGAGCAGACCCTAAAATGTGAGCAAATCAAAGTGATCACAGAAAACCACATTCTACCAAAACCACAGTATGAGAACTGCTGAATCACAGCCTGAACCTCTGATTGAGCACCTGAGGCGAGCCATGAGTCAGCCCTGGGAGCACAGGTGAAGGCAAAGCTCTTGTGCTACTGGAAGGAGTGGAGCCTGGCTGCACCTCTCCTAGACCTATTTAAGAGCTGAGTATGATGAGGGCAGGATCTTTTTTGGAGATCGCTCCTCTTGGAGCCTTCTCAGCGAGCCCAGGACAAGGGTAAGCTTTCTGCCTGTTCTTTGGTGTGATAACCTGCTTAGCCTAACTTCCCTGTACATTTCTTAATCATAACATCTGTATATTCATTGATTACACAACCACAGAAGCCTGAAATGCATGGCTGTGACATTGAGAAAGTAAAGCAGAAGATTAGCAACTGTTGTATAAAAAAAAAAAACCAAAAAACTCCACCCTTAAAAGCTATCACAGAACTACAGAATCACAGAATGGTTTGTGTTGGAATAGATCTTGCAGATCACCCAGCTTCTACCCCCGTGCTATGGGCAGGGACAGCTCCACCAGGCCAGCCTGCCCAAAGCCCTGGCTTTGAACACCTCCAGCAATGGGGCAACCACAACTTGGAGCAGCGCGTGCCAGTGCCTCACCAGCCTCCTAGTAAAAAAATAATTTTCTCTTAACATCTAATCTAAATCTCTCTTAGCTTAAGGCCATTGCCAGTTGTCCTATCACTATGCTCCCTGACAAAGAATTGTTCCCCAGCTTTCCTGTAGGCTGTGTTCAATGACTGGAAGACTGCTATCAGGTCTATCCTGAGACTTCTCCATGCTGAACAAGCCCAGCTCAACTTTTTTTTTTTTTTTTTTCTGGTTAAGGTGTTCCAGCCCTCTGATATTCCCAGTGGCTTTCTATGCACCCGCTCCAACAGCTCTGTTTTTCTTCTGCTGGAGATTCCTACTGCTCCAGCTGGGGCCTCATGAGGGCAGAGTAGAGACAATCACCTGCCTCACGCTGCAGGGCAGCACTGTTCTGGCACAGAAAGGGATACTGTCACTCTTCCAGGATGAAAGCACACACTATTGACTCGTGTCAAGCTTTTCATCCGCCAGAACCCCCAAGTTATTCTCCACAGGACTGCTCTCAGTCTGCTCATCACTCAGCCTTTGTCCATGTTTGAAGTTTCCCCAATCCAGGTGCAGGACCTTGCATTTAACCTTCACGAATCTCATTCAATTCCCGTGGGTCCACCACTCATGCCTCTCAAGGTCCCTCTGGATGGTGTCTCTTCAGAGTACTGAAAGCACTACTTGACATGAACAACACACTTCCTCATTTATTGGGAGGAAAGGATTTCTTGAGCATCATGTGATGTCACTCCAGCAAAATATTCCAAGGAACAACAAGATGCTTTTTGTGATTTCCTCTAAGTATATGAACAACTAAAAAATATATAGCAAATCTGTTCGGCAGTAGGAGTGAGTAAAAATTAGTATGTCACTCGTAACAACACTACATTTTTAAGAAAGTTCCTACAATTCCTTTGTATACTGTTCGATATTAAATCTGCCAATAAATACATACATGCAAATTGCTAAGGAAAGACACCAGCACAAGCTTTTCCTTTCGTATGACATTTGTAGGCAGCCCGTGGAAGGGGCCGCCCTCAAGCCAGCCAAAGCAGCCGGGGGCAAAGCTGTCAGCGTGCAGATTGCACAGCCACACTGGTGACACCAGAGAAGGCTCCCAGCTCCCAGCTCCCACTCCGAGATGGAGCTCGGAGGGAGGAGGACCGGGCTTTCCTCCTCATCTCCTCACGCAAGGTTTCTGCCTTGGATTTCAGCACCCTCGCAGCACACTGTGGTGCCCGTGCAGCTCCGGGTAGCCCTGCCAATGCAGGCCCGGGAACCCTGGGGAGGGGAGCACCTGGCTTTACAAGGCCCCCTCTGTAAAGCGCGCGTTTCACGGCGACCAAGGAAAGACCCACGGTGTTTGGGGATGGGGTTGGGGTTTATTGGGTATAGGGAAAGGGTAATATGGAAAGCGGCGACGCCTTTAACAGTGTCACCGTGAGCGTCGCCAACAGTGAAAGGTGGTCCTCGTTGAGCTGTTGGGTGACACTTAGTGGATGTCTGGCTCCAGAATCTCACTGCTGCTGGATCTCTCGTGGTCCTCGTCGACGTGCCTGATCACGACTCTCCGGACCTGAGGAGTTCAGTGTAAAGCTCAGTAGTTTTGTGAGCGCAGAGACACGCAGCGCAACGCTGCAAGTCTCTCTGCAGTACGAGAGAGTGGTTCTGCTAATGCAGGTCTAGAGAGAGCAGGCTCCTGGTCCCTGTGATGTAACTGCAGCCCTTGTGGCCAGTCCCGATCTGGGGTAGCCTGCTGTGGGGCTGGCTGACCAGGCACCGAGTCAGGCGGTGGCTGAGACTTCGGCCCGGGCAGATACAGGCTGTGAGAGCGAGGTGCTCGGGGCTCTGTGTTCTGGGAGGAGAGGGAGGGACTCCGGTTGGAGAACGGAGGGCCGCCAGACACTGGCCGACACCTCAGACCCTTCCGCCTGCAGCTGCCTGAGCTGCACTGGGAACCTTCGTCCCCAGCGCCCGCTGGCTGCGTGTCTGTGCGGAGGTCTCCAGCTCCACCGCCAGCCGCTCTCCATCCCACAGGCCCAAGAGGGTCTTCCCTTGGCTTGCTACGGCTAGCTGTGACACGCTGCTTACGGGAGCCCACTTACCACTCTGCGTGACGCCTTCTCTGGCTTTGGTCCAGCAGGGGGTGCAGGTCTGTGCTCCGCTCCTGGCAGATGGAGGAGGCCAGGTGCGTGTGTGGATGGCCGACTCCACCACAGCACTGCAAGCTCACTGTAGGCACAGAGCGGGAGGGAGTGTGAGCACAGGGAGACCGGCCTCTGGCTGGGGCTCCCAAGCTTGGTGCCTGCCACCACTGCTGCAGGTGGCCGTGCCGAGAGCCCGCGTCCAGGAAAGGCCCCTCTTTTGCCCTGGTGCTGCAGGGGGTGGGAGAAGGGCAGTGTGGGAGAGCAAGCTGCCTGTCTGGAGAGCTTTACCTCTGGAGCCGGTCCTGCAGATCCTTCTCTGCGTCTCTCTGGCCCTGCTGCTCACGGGACACCTGCCCCACAATGAGCTTCACCACCTCCCGCAGGGCCTCATCTGTCCTTGAAGAAAGCTTCCTGCAACAGTGAGCACAAAATCCGTCTCACTCTTCAGCCGTGACGCCCCTGCCTCTTTCTTCACCCAGTCTGTTCCACACGTGGCCCCACTTGGCCCCACAGCCACTCTGACGCAGGACAACTTCCACATGTGGGCTGCTTGGGCTCCAGAGAGGCTCGTGGCATCGGGCCCTAACCACGACCGTATCCACGGCCTCAGAGCTCTCAGGGCGCTGCGTGCGGCACCACGACTCAAAAGCTGGCTTCCCTGATGCACAGCACAGGTGACTCACCACCCCCTGCCCCTGGCCTCGGGTGCAGTTGGTGCACGCTTACCGTTTAGGCAAAGCAGCGCTGTCCCAGAAGACTGCGCGCGGCTCTTCCTCGGCCTCTTCCTGCTTCCCCATCATCCTCTCCCTCAGGCTGGGGGTGGAGCTGGAACGCTCTGTCTCGCTCCCAGACAGAAAGATTGAGTATTCTTCCTCGGTGACAGAGGTTTCCTGCATAGGAAAAGACACTCAGTGCTGTGGTGCTGCTTCCCAGCATGCAGCTCCCCGCAAGACCATTCCAGTGGGGACTGCAGTGGGGCAGGAAAAGAATCAGGAGAGGGACCTCAGCACGCTCTTGAGGCCATGTCTCAGCGTGACCAGGGCTTTGTTACAGCGCCCTGTTGGGTCCTCTTGCTCACAAAAGGCAGCAGTCCCCCACCCAGCGCTGCTGCACCAACATTACTGCTCTGGCCCGCGTGCCAGAGGCACCATGCAGTCTCAGCTCCCCTGGATGGGAAAGTGCTGCTGCTTTCTTGCAGGGATGCAAAGTACCTGGGCCGCTGGCAGCTTCACTTCTTCCGGCTCAGCTTCTGTGTCCTTCTCTTGAGACTTTCGCTGCTTGCCTTTTTCTGCTTTCTTCCCTTGCAACTTTTGCTGCTGCTTTTTCTGCGTCACTTTTGGAAATTTCTTCTCCTGCACCTTCTTCTCCTGCTTCACCTCCTTCACCGGCTTCACTGGCTTCACCTCCTTCACCGGCTTCACCGGCTTCACCTGCTTCACCGGCTTCACCTCCTTCACCGGCTTCACCGGCTTCACTGGCTTCACCGGCTTCACCTCCTTCACCTTTTTCGCCTCCCTCTCCTTCCTCACGTTCTTCCCCTTCTCCTCCTCCTTCCTCACATTCTGTCCCTTCACCACCTTTCCTTTCTTGGTCTCTAGAGCCTTTGCTTCGAGGTCGGCCTAAATGCAACAGCAGGCAACGTTAGTCTCTGTGGAGGCTGAGGGCTTTCCCCTCCTGACTCCATTTCACCCTCTACCTCCCGCCTTTCTGGTCTGCTGCCAGGCTCCTGCGGACTCGACTGAAGAGCCCTTCTGCAACAGCCAGGAAAATAAACAACCACTAAAGGCCTAAAGGCAGTCTGGCAGCTGGCAGTTCTAGACAAGCAGTCAGGAACATCCCCAGATCAGCTCCTGGGGTGGCTTTCGGGAGGCTAATGGCAGTGAACAGCTTATTCCCAAACGCCCTCGCTACTGATCTCTCTTCAAGCGAGGTGTCACGTGAACGCGCAGCAAAGAGCGCTGTGAGAGTCACTGATGCTCTTCTACAGTTCACTAAGACAAATGTGCTGCAGCAGTCTGTGCCACGTACCATTCTCTTCTTCTCCCTCGCTATGGCAAAGAAGTCCACCATCCTGGGACCCACCAGAGGAACTACTTTCGCTTGCTCTTCCTTTTCTGGCAAGGATCTCCTCGGGATGGCCGGTAGCTGCCTGTAAAGACACGGTGGGGAGAGTTGACAGGAGGGCAGGAGGTGCTGGGTCTGCGTTGCGTGCTTGAACGTGTTTCAGCAGCCTCCTCAGCAAAACAAGTCTGCAAGAGCCCCCAAATGACTGAGCTGGTCTCTACCACTTCCCTTGGAGACCTGGGAACAGCCTGCGGCGCTGACAGCAGCCCGCAAACACGCTCACTCCTGCTCAAACGCTCCTAGGAAAGGAACACCCTCATCCCTTCCCGGGACGTTTCCTGTCCCTTTGGGCACCGGGCTCGGCAAACAGAAAGGCCCGGTTGGCTTCCATCTGAAGGGAAGCAAGAAAGTCTCTGCGCTCTCGCGAGGAGCACTTGCCATTAGTTACCCAGCTCAGAAGGGATGCTACGGGGCGTTGGTCATGCAGAGCTGCTTGAATCCATACAGCCTCTGGATCTGGGAGAAACTTCGCTCCCACGGAGGCAAGAGCGTGGCACCGCCCGCATTTCTTTGGCCAGGAGTCTCACCTGGTGCGAGGCTCTTTCTCCTCGGCTGCCTGGTCTCTGCCCCGCATTCCAGTCAGTGGCGGTAACCTCTTTGGAGGAAGCGCTGCGCGATGAAGGAGGCGCGTCTCGCAAAGGTCCCCTAGAAAGAGGAAAGGGGAAAACTTCAGAACAGCTGTGCTTTTGGCACGGTTTGGGTCCGACTCCTCATGGCTGTGGGGCAGCGCTGTTCCCTGGGGAACGCTACCTGAGGCCTTCATCTGGTCTGTGTGCTGAAGTGGGGGAGGCCCTGGCAGTTGCCGGTGGTCTCAAAGAGCCACTGTGGGGAGGGGACTCGTTTAGCACAAGAGGAGCTGGCTCTTTCATCTCTTGATGCACATCCCACGCACACAGCTTTGCTACTGGGGCGTGCTCACACCAGAGGAATTGCTTTTGAGACATCGGAGAATACGAAGGGAAGCGAGGGGAGGGATTTCCAGGGCTGGCAGGACAGGCAGCCGAGTGGAGGCCACTGGGAAAGTGTCCTCTGCTGGGATGATCCCCGTGGCCACTTGTGATGGAGGGCTGCCCTGAGAACTCTCTTCGCAATGGATCACTCAGGCTTTCCCATAACGGTACAAAGAGTCACCGGAAGCGTCTCATGCTCTTCCGGGCGCCCTGTGGTAAGGTCAGCTCTAACCGCCTCCAGACAACGAGGAAGGCAAACACAGAGTCCCCCGATGGCAACCCACGGGTCCCTCACCTTTCCTGCCTCTTGCCCAGCCTTGCCCACGTCTGGTCTTCACGTGGTACTTCAGGTCCACCTTTGCTGTGTCGGGCGTTTCAAGTTCGATCTCGTGCGTGTACCTGGAAGAGGAAGCAGCGGGCTGAAGGAAGGGCAACGCTTCCCCTCGCAGCGTGACCCAATAGCGGAGCGACAGAGACAGAACGCAGAGACGCTGTAAGGCCACGCTTCCCAGAGCAGCTCATTCTGGACAACCGTACCAGGATCTCCAGTGCCTGGAGGGGCAGGTGAGGCCCGTCGGTACGTGCCAGTGTTCTTCTGTCCTTGCTGTGAGAGCAGATGAGCTCCCAGCCAATCCCCCTGCCTGCTCCAGAGGAGGAAATATTCCCCTCTCGCTCAGAACAGACCGGTTGCTCCCCACCCACTTATACCCAACAGCCCTTTTCGCTCTCTTCTTGCCCTGCGAGTTTCTTGCAGATTAACGTCCTCGCAGCTCTGAAGGCTCAACTCCACGCCCCCCGCCCGCACCTCTTTTGGGTGGCACTGCGCAGCAGCGACGGTACGAGACAGAGCTCTGCGGAAGCCCACCACGCTCGAGCTCCCGTCTGCACAACCATCTGTTCCTCCTCCAGCCCTTGGGTCCTTAGCGATACCCACTCTCATTTGCCGGACAAAAGAAGCCCAGGGAAAACCAGAAGGAAGACTGGCCTAAATGCCCCCCCAGTTTCGACTCTGGCACGGACGCAAAACGTCACTTTGCCACGCCACGCTCCTCCAAATGCCACCCAACTGAACTAGAGCGAGCGGGGAGTTCCCTGCCCACTTTTCAGGCCTCTCAGCACCGCAAAGTACCGTGGCGAGTACCATCTCACTCAGGCGCGGGTGGCAGGAGCAAGCATACTCACATTGGAAAGACAGTAACGTGTCCGGAAGCCGTTAGGGAAGCCGCGCAGGCACTGCGTGAGATGACCGCCTTGCTCATTTCTGGCATCTGCAATCAGAACGGAAACAGACGATGGGAGGTGGGGACACTGGCAATGGCCGGCAGCTCCAGTCTCTCTCAGCCCAACACGACGAGAGCCGCCACAGGGAAGGGTCCGGGCCTCAGCAAGCCTTGCTGTGCCTGTGCCTCTGCTCCGTGCTCTGAGCTGGGGCTGAGCAGTGACGCGCACCGTTTGTCCCTTGACAAAAAGCGAGGCCTTTTGAGGGCGCGTATCCCGGGGCAGAGCCGGGCCACCTCACGTACAGGAAGAGCTCTCCAGAGCCCGCTTTCCCGCACACCGCCAGGAGCCCGGGTGGCTGGAGAAGCATGGCACGCCAGGAGAGAGCAGTCCCCTCGTCCCCGGAAGGCGTTTAGAAGAATCAGAGGTAGTGCTGGGAAAACGCAAGACCTACCCCAAGAAGAGCCTGCAGCACCTCGGCAGTCCCACTGAGCTTCCCCAGGAAGTCCTCGTAGTACTTCATCTGGACACGCTTCCCTTCGATCAGCAGCATGCCAACATCCCACCAAACGAAGGCAACGTTCTGCCTCTTCCCTATGCAGGCGCTGAACTGGCAGACGGTCCTTTGCACGCAAAGCCGCGCCGCGCCTTCAGAGATGCCGGTTTCCGAGGCTATCTCATCATAAGGAAGTTGCTGATACTCGTCGTGTCCTGGAGAAGCGAGAGGAGAGGAGCGTGAGCACTTGGGGAGCCATGGGCAGGCCACGCTCCAAAGGCAGCAGCTTCCAGGCCCTCGGGCAACGCACTGCTGTTGTGTAGTCTTTGAGACTGTGAGGCGGAACCATTGGTACGTCTCTGTGGAGACGCTGAGATGCGGAGCCGATGAGACCGGAATGAAACCTGCTGCTGAAGCAGCTGAAGGAGTGTGCTGTTACCCTCTGCTGCCATTTGCAATGGCAGACTGTCACACTGTCCCCACCAGAGTGCCAGGGCAGGCTCCTCTGTCAGACTCCACTCTTCCTACCTGCAACGTCTACGTAGTCGTATCGGAGGTCGTGGTCCTGCGCAAGAGCCTTTGCCAGATGAAACACGGGTCTCTCAACAAGAACCACATTGTTCTGCTGGTTGACCACGTGCTCTCTGACAAGGGTGAAAGCGCCCAGTTCAGGAATGCTCACAGCCTGAAAGAGGAGAAAGGGCGGATCAGAAGAAGTTGTGCAGGGAATGACGGAAGACTATTTCCCTCTCGCCCCTCCTCCCCGTGAAGAACCAGAAAGCGCAGTCTTCTGGCTCATAAAGACACAAGCGGGGCTCCCAAACTTGCAGTCACCCCCACAGGATCCCTCTGACTCTGCCGGCAGAGGAAGGAAGCACGCAGGCCCAGAAAATGCCCAGCCCTCTTTCCATCATTAGGCCTGGAGCCCCTGGCATTTCAGAGCTGACGGTGGAGCCAGCCTGCAGCCCCCATCTCGCATCGCGGTGCCCCTCTGCGGCGCGGGTCCTGCTTCCACGGAGGGCAAGAATAGCTGCGCTCCGTGGCAAACGGGCTCTCGGGGCTGAATCAACCGCGAGAGGGAGGAAGGGAGTAGGAGGCAAGTCCCACCTGGTACAGAGCCAGCTGTCGGCCGAGATAATAGGATGTGCTGAACCAAAACTTAGCGAGCTCTGCAAAACAAAAGGAAAGACACGTCAAGCTCCCAGGCGGCCACCTCCAAACCCTTCAGCACGCCCAATTCCCGCCACAGGAACGGCGCGGGATGAGCTGAGCCTTCCGAGCCATTCGGTTCCGCCGGCGGCTTCTGCTCGCAGATCCCCGGGAAGGCAGGCGCCAGGCCGGGAGCACAAGCCAGCAGTCGCGCCCGCCCGAGCGCTCCTCGCACCCCCGGGCTGCCAAGGCAGCCGCTTTCGCGCCGCAACCCGCCCTGCTCAGCCGTCCCCGCCTCCCTCCCTCCCTCCCTCAAGAGCAGGGCTTCCACGCCTGCGCTCAGAGCTGTCACCGGCCCGACAACACGTGCGCGCCGCCGGGCCCGAAGGCCTTACCAGACTTGCGGATCTTCTCCGCAGTCGGAGTCGAGCGGGGTCTCGAGAAGAGGGAGTTCGCCATCTTCCTTCCCCCCTCGCCGCAGGTCAACGACCGCGGCGGGCGGCCGGCCGGCCAAACGGCCCTCCTCCTCAGCCCTTCGCCCCTGCCCTCCTGCTTCTCTCTGCCTACTGCTCCTCACGGAACGGCGGATCCTCCAGAGCACGGCGGCGAGATCAGCTCCTCGGCGAGCGCCCGGAGCCTCGTCGGCCTCTCTGGGAAATGGGGGGTCGGCGAGCTTCGAGGCGGCGCTCACCGCTGCGACGCGCGCCGTGCCACTGTGAGCTCAGGCCGCGTCACAGAGGGGCTGCCGCGCCCTGCCGTCAGAGCGGGCTCCGGGCAGGGACGCCTTCTGGGAGCGGGCCTGCGGCAAGCGGGCTCTCCTGAGCGGGAGAGCGGCGAGCTGCTGGAACGGGCTGCCTGCCCGGAGAGGCTGCGGGCAGAGGCCCCGTCCGGCCCCGGAGGCGTTCGAGGCCGGCTCGGAGGTGGCCCGCTCCGCCGTGACATGGGGAGGTCGGCGGCCCTGCGTGCGGCAAGGGGTCGAAGATTCTCGTGCTGGAGCTGAAAGATGGAGCCTGTGGTGCAGAGCCATGTGGAAGCAGTCCTTGTAGAGGTGTAGCATGTGGGAAGCCCGTGCAAACTCCATTCAGGCAGGGAGAGAGTGCATGTAGAGCGTGCATAGGGAAAGACAGTGTCTGTGAGTAGTGGCAGAGAGAAGATATCATGGATTAACACAACGTTCTCCGCTGCACATCTTGGGGAGAGAACATTAAGAAGGATTGATTGTAGAAAGATGTTTTCAGTTTGCTTTCAGTTGACACTGCTCAAGTCTGCTGTCAATATGCAATAAGACATGTAAATCTCACTGCTCTGAGTCTGTTCTTTCCGTGACGGTAACTGATGAGTGATACCCTATCTGTTTAAACCTCAGATCCATTTTTCATTGTTTTTTTTCCCCTTCTCCTTTGAAAATGCAGAATGAGAAGAGCAGAGTGGAGTCCAGCTTCGCACCCATATGAAACCACCAGAAGAACCTTTCAGTAACAAGATTACTCCAAGTGTTTTGGTACTAGAGTGGGAAATTGTTGCCATGACTGTCTTGCTTTCTCCCATCCTCCTCTGCTTTGACAGGGAGCAACTTGGTGCAATCACAGCAGTGCTCTGTCCTCACAAACACACGCACCTGCTGCACAGAGGGCATGGGGCTGCAACCCCAGGTCACCAATGTGGTTCTGGCACAGTTCATGCCAGCTTCCACTGGATTGCATGATTGCATGGCACAAGCGCTGCCCACTTGCTTTGCTGTAATTAGTGAGATGGCAGTCCTGGACTTGGCAGGAATTAAGAAATGTAGAAGATATGACAGGTATTATTTTACAGGCCTGAGTAACTCACGCTGTAACCCTACCAAGCAAATGTGCTGATTCAGGGTCCATTGAAGTATCCCTCAGCAGTAACAGTAATTACAGTAGTAAGGGGGTGGCACCAGTGGGATGGTCCTGCAGGACCTGCCTCTGAGCCCTAGGGGCCTGCAAACAGCCCCACCAGCTGCTGCCTTACGAAGACATCTCCTAGGTTCAAGACACTCGGTGTTGATTATCAGCAAAAGAAAAAATAACGTTTTGTCTGCCCACGTGTCCGATCTTCCTCCTGTCATGAACTTTGCTGCTTGCATTACAGGTGCCTCTTGCCTTGAGGGACTTCGTACAGCCCTCTGTGCAGGCTGGAAAAGTGACTGTGCTTAGTGCAGAAGTAGGCAGCAAAGTCGGTGCTGTGAGGGGCAGTGCTGCAGCACAGAAGCCTTGGACCAGATCTGTTGGTAGGGCTGCTCATTTTCACGCTGAGAGGGGTCCCTGCATGATGCACCATGAGCTGGTCTCACAATCCTGAAGAGGCCATTGCAGTCCCCCCATGGTTCTGAGCCTCGCTTTCTCTGCACTTCAGTTTCTCCTCTGTGATCAACAGCAACTCCCTCCTCAGCAGTGAGTCTGTTCAGGGCTCCTCTGGCAATCAGTGCCCCACAAAGAGTGGCAGAAGGAAGGAGTGTGAAGCTGGCAAGGGGACACTCACATCCAGGGATTTGCCTGCAGTGGGCTTGAGATCCTGCCTGGGCTCACAGCCCTTGCTGCATTGTGATTTTTTAGTGAAGTAAGTGGCTAGAGGAAATGGAATAAAATATAAATCAATTATGCTGTTCAAAGTCAGTCACTAAATTAATCCAATTACACTGCAGCAATCTTTGCTTAATGCCTAGAAGCTAAGAAAAGATTGTTAAAGCAGTGGTTTGGGAAATTAGTTAATCACAACAGTAACCAACAATGGAAGATGCTGGAGAGGGAGTAAGGGGGAGGAAAAGGACGCCTTATTATTCATCCTTCAAGTGAAGTGCTCAGCTATTAAAGGATGGAGCACCTGAGCTTACCAAACTGTGCTGGCTGCAGGTCTCGACAAAGAAGAACTCACTGATTGTTCTTTACTTAGGAAACCTTACAGCACTGTTATTATGGAATCCCAGCTCTCAATAACCACGTTTGTCTTTTCACCCACACAATCTCTCTGCCTCTCTCAAGTAGGTTGCCAGAAACCTATTTTATGTTTTCAAAATTAAGGCTTCAAATCAACTTGGCAACACAGCTCATCTTCAGGATGCTGGTATTTTTAATACAAGCGGACACGTCGTACTTCCAGGTTGGGCTTGAGACACTCAAGGAGTTGCAGGTGTAAACAGCAACTCTTGCTTCAATTAGTCAGCTCGTCTGCACAACAGCTGAAGGGCTGAACTTGGAACTTCTGAAGGCATATTGAATTACATAAGATGGGACATGGAAGATGTTTTAAAACATGAGGTCCACAGTGCCTGAGTAAAGGGTAGTGAATATGAGTGTGTACTTGGCTCACTGCCCACGACAAGCTTTGCTCTGAGCCTGTTTCTCCAGTGGTCTTTACAGAGGCAAAGCTTGACTTAAATCATGAAGGACACTCGTGAATTTTGTGAGTAACTCATATTCAAGCCTTATGTATTGTCGTCATCAGTACTTGGCTTGGCTTGCATGCCTCTAAACCCAAGTACCTCTGAATTTTAGTCTAGTTGTTCTGTTCTGTTTGCTTGCTTGCTTTGTGTTACTGGTTTTCTTTTTTCTTTTTAAAATTTTTAATTTATAAAGCTGCTGGAAAACTGGTACATCCACCAGTGCCTGGTCTCCCATATCAGAACATAAAGAATATATTTATAAGATCCTCTGCTCTGAAAAGGCATAATATATTTTCTGAAGCAGGGTGCTCACTCCTTAACACTGGAAGAACCCGTTCCCAACACTGCCTCCCACATGCTGCTCAGAAGTTTTTCCTTTGAGCTGTGCTGAGATTTCACAAAAGGAGTCTCATTTCAATCCAGCTGAGAAATCCCATAGTTTACACCTTTTTGCCTAACTGCCTGGACTAACAGCTGTAGATTCTTATATTTGAAATTGCAAATAAAAGCTCACGAAGCCATGAACTGAGCTTTAAAAATCACCAGGTGTACTTGTTGCTGCTGTGCAGCCAAGACATAGTTTCTGTTTCACAACTTGAAGGAGAATGGAAAAAGTTACCATTTTCCTGAAGTATAAATGGAAATCCTTATAGATACTGGACTGCAGGAACTACAGTTGTGGATGGAAAAAAAGAGGTGGTAACAGCAGGGGTTGTAGGAAAACCACATTGCAAGTTGTGCAACCATGTTCACAGATACAAATGTACTAAATTGTGTTGATTAACTAAATACCTTCAAACAGAACCTAGCAAACATCAAAACACAGGAGCTAAAAGCATTAAATCATTAATTTCATATCAGAAGTTTGAGCAATGAAGGCATTTTCTCCTTTGCGTTCCCATGGTCTCAAAAAACTGCACACTTCCACAGTGACACCGTGGAGATTCAGGAATGAGCTCCAGCTCTCGTTGCTTCTCCAGAAAGCTGCACACAGCAGCTCCCAGTGTATCAGCCAGCCTTGCCTGCTGCAGGCCCAGGGCTCATGGCAAGTGGCCTGGACCAGAGCTGTGCTTACAAACCCACAGCATCGTACAGCACCAGGGATATGCAAAATACAGCAAGCAGTGGGGGGAACCTTCAAAACCAACCCATTTTATAGACCTGATAGTGAGAGCTGGATTTCAGAGGCGGGCATTCAGAGAGCAGCCTGCAGCTCATACTGATAGTGCGGACTCGTTTCACTCAAACCCCCACAGGGATCTGAGCACAGGGGCTGTCAGTAGGTCCCTGCTCTGGCAGCACTCAGAGGCTGCTCCAGGTCAGGTGCTGGAGGTAAAAGAGCTGCCGCCCAGTCACAACCCACACCTCTCCCTCATGGTTTCTGGTGTCAGCACGTGCTGTGTTACAGAAAAACAGCATGGCCAGGGGTGGCTCTTTGAGCATCTTTAATCTTCAGTATTCACCTGCTGAACCGCAGTTACAGGGCGTTTGGGTTGTCCTCCAGTATCACTGCAGCCTGGACACAAGTACAAGTGACTTGGCGTGCCTCATCAGAGACCTAGCTTGGCTAAAAGAAGGATGTGGCACTGAGGCATGTGAAACCTATTAACTCTGAGTAAGCAAAGAGCAGCTGAAGGCAGCAGGCAATACTGTAATGAGGAAAAATATGTAAGATGGAGAGAAAATGAGAATTAGTGACTTATTCCTCAGCACTTCCACTGCAGCCATTTCTGCCTTAGCCTCAAAGTTGTCAAACGCAGACAGTTAAGATAAAAGTCATGTAAGGTCACATCTGCAATTAACTGCTGCTGTGCACCGGTTTGCACCCATTCACTGCAGGGAGAACACGTATGAGCTGAGTTGGTCTCCTGTAATAGAGCAAATTAGCGGCCTCTGCTGGATGGCCTGTAATGGCTCAAGTAATTTAGGCAGTAGCAGATGCTGGGTCAACACAAGCTCAATGAACAGCAGCCACCTCCTTTGTGTGAATATAAATCCAGCCTTAAGCCTCCCTGGCGTAACTCCTGTCCTGCTGCTTGTTGACTGGAAAGCCTCTGGGGGAACCAGGGCACTGCTGCCTGCCGGGTCCCAC